TCTGGCCTTCGTTCATTAGTGTTCAAAGCCTCAAATCTGTTCCTGAGATGGTTCTGAAATTCAGGTGGGATAGACTCAAAGTCATATTTTGGTTTATTATGGAAATAAATCCTTTACAAATTATGTCCAAATTCCATAGTATGGCTATCAAAGCTTTCCATAAGCTGACTTTATCCAACTTCTATGTTAATTGTTACTGCTAGCTGCTGCTGAATGGATCTCAATCATGATGATGAACTATCCCTACCAGAACTGTGATTGATAGTAAACATAACCAGTGGGACTCAACGGAGTTTTCACAGGCTGGTTTTTGGCTCAAGTCTTTCTTCCTAGCTATCAAGTTTCTTCCTTAAATTTATTTAGCATCACAGGCAGTTTTCACCTTCCTGAAACCACTTGACAACAGGAAGTGGCCCATTTGCCACTCTGCAACAAATAAACTGTTTGCCACTAGGCTTTTTATCTCTTTGTCTTGATTCAGGCTATTTCTAACATCTGTTTTTTAGAAATTCATCCTGCAAAGAAAGGTGCTCTTTACAATACAATGCCAACAAATAATATAGAAAGGAGATAGGGGAAGGGCAAATCACTCTGGAACCATTAAGAATAAAAAGGATTCTGGCAATAATTAATGCAAAATCTAGAGGGTCATATTTCACATGACTTCAAATTATTCTTCCATAAATTCCATAATAATTACAAGAATGATTAGACTGGCTAGCCTAATGTTAAGAAACTGCATTGCAATTCTAAAGGCATGTGGTTTGAACCCACCAGCTGCTCTACCAGGGAAGGATGGGCAAACTCCTCCCATGCAATTAACTGCCACTGAAAACCCACTGGAGGGTCAGCTATGGGTTGGTTCCAACTCAATAACAATAGATAACAGCAGCAACAGCAGCAGCAGCATATTCATTGTCATCCAATTAGAATGGACTCAAAGTTGGCCCTTCAGAGGATTTTCAGAGGCTGTAAATCACAAGAAAGGAGACTGCGTGTCTTTCTCCGAAAGAACAACCAGCAGATTTGAACTATCTGCTGGACTACCATTGCAACTCTCTAACCACTGGGCTGCCAGAGCCACCTACATAGATATCATGTACCTCCAAATATGGCACGTTGGAAAGGATACTCCAACAGTGAGGCAACATACCAATAAAAAATGCATAGCCATGTGGAAACACTAGAGAAACCCAAATTGAGGATATTCTAGAAAATAAATGGTCTATTAAAAATAAAAATAATAATAAAATAATACAAATGCTGTGAAATACAAAGAAGGATAGAGAACCATTTCCAGATTAAATGAGACTAAAAGTAATAAACGATTCTTCACGAGATCATGAAATGACATTTGGAAAATGGAGAATATCTGAATACAGGTTAGATTTAGAATGTGTGCTTAACAAATGTTTAATGAACTAAATGAACTTTTTTATAACAATCTGTAGCTCTCTCAGACAAAGCCTAGAGAAATGCATTACTTCAGAGAAAACCCTACAAGATTAAATGACTAAAAGTGTCTATCACACTCAGAATAAATTAATAATACTGGTAAGCGTTCAGAAAAACTACTTAATTTCTAGAATAAACACGTGGGTTTACGTCCTCATGTAACTTTTCCATAAAGACTTCTAAGTTTCTAATACCAGACAGAAAACTGTTTAGATTCCAAGCAAACAAGTGGAAAAGTTAGTCATCTATTAAGATATTTAAGATGTATAGGTTCAAAAATATATCTAGAAACACACATAATATTGCCTTTGAATTTTAATGACACTTACAGTTTTATTTAACAAACACTGAATGACTATGTGCAAAGCACTATGCTAGGCACTATGAAAATTACAAAGATGTAGACACAGTCCCTGCCCACAAGGAGCGCATAATCTAGTGGAGGAGAGAGATAAATAGACAGTAAGAATACAAGGCAGTAAACAAGGGTGGGGAAAATGCTAAGTGTGGCCCAAGTGTGCTACTAACTAGCCTTTAGGCTCCAATTTGAAACAACAGTGCTGTAATACTGGCTGCTTTGAAAAATCTAAAGATCTGACATACTAGATGTTTAAGATCTTCCCTAAGCAATTGGAGGCAAGAGATGAGGCCAGGTGAGGGGCTATTTGAAAGCACAGTCACAATGACATACATGATGCTGATACAAAGCATGTAGGTAGATCTAAAAAAGAACTCACATATATATATATTTTATATTTTATCTGTCCTTTGGTTAATGGCTATAGCTACTATTTTAAACAATATACCTTTATATAAAAAAAC